CCTGGGCAAGGCTGCCCCCCCCCCCCGCCGTTTAAGTTCTCCCTTAAGAGGTGAAACTGACTGCAATTATGTCTTTTTATCTTGCAGACGATCTTTCGCCCAGCGCTTTAAGGAGACAAAAATATTTGTTTGATGTATCGACTCTCTCAGACAAAGAGGAGCTGGTGGGGGCTGAGCTCCGTCTCTTTCGGAAAGCCCCCGGCGATCCCTTCTCCAAGGCTCAGACAGGCTTGGCCCGTCTGCAGGTCTCGCCCTGCCTTTCGGGCCGCCGACTGGACTCCAGGACCCTGGACTTGCAGGAGGCGGCGCTGGCCCGGCCCGGTGGCGGCTGGGAGGTATTTGATGTGGGGCAAGCTTTACAGCCCCACCGCGGGCCCCGGAAGAAGCGACCACAGCTGTGCCTGGAGCTGCGAGCCGTCGGGGGCACCCGAGCGCACCCCCGCCCGCAGCTGCTGGACCTGCGCCCCCTAGGCCTGGGGCGAGGCGCCCGGGCGCAGCAGGAGAAGGCGCTGCTGGTGGTCTTCACCAAGTCGAGGCGGAAGAACCTCTTCGCGGAGTTACGCCACGAGCTGGGAGCCCGGCCGCTGCCGCTGCCGCAGAACGCGCCCGCGCTGCCCTGGGAAGCGCCGGGCGCCGTCCAGCTGCGCTTCCAGGCCCGCCGCATGAAGCGCGCCGCGTACAGCAGCCGGCACGGGAAGCGGCACGGGAAGAAGGCGCGGCTGCGGTGCAGCAAGAAGGCGCTGCACGTGAACTTCAAGGAGCTGGGCTGGGACGACTGGATCATCGCCCCGCTCGAGTACGAGGCCTACCACTGCGAGGGCGTGTGCGACTTCCCCCTGCGCTCGCACCTGGAGCCCACCAACCACGCCATCATCCAGACGCTCATGAACTCCATGGACCCGGGCACCACGCCGCCCAGCTGCTGCGTGCCGGCCAAGCTGACGCCCATCAGCATCCTGTACACGGACGCGGGCAACAACGTCGTGTATAAACAGTACGAGGACATGGTGGTCGAGTCCTGCGGGTGCAGGTAGCGGCGCGCCTCCCCGTCTCCCCCGGACGAGAGAAGCATCAGGGAACTCACACGGCAGAGAGCGAGCCCACGCGAGAGACACGCGAGGGAGAGCAGAAGGAAGCGCGCCCCGTGAGGGGACGGCCGCAGCGCAAGCTACGGCGAGCCTTCGCAAGACAGCTTTGCGAGCGCCCGCCTCGGCGCAGCTCACTTCTGCCAGCGCTGCGCGTGCGGCCCTCCCCGTACACGAGGCGAGGGCAGAATGGGCGATCCGGACTGCGTCTGCGCATCCTCTGCTTCAGGGGTTCAGGTTCCTCCGCCTAAAGAGCGGGGAGAGAGCGCGCCCAACGCCATTTTCGGAACAGCCTGGATGTTTTGGCATCCTGGCAAAGCCATCCGTAGGATGGGAGTTTTTGCTCAGAAAACACGTGGCAAAGGTTGCTATGGGGAGACTGAAGGCTGGTCGGTTGATCACGGCGCAGCAGACGTCTCTCCCCGGCTGGAGCTACCCAAACGAGTAGTGACCCATTTTTCAGAAATTAAGCATTGGTTTTGAATTCGGAAACGCAAGCTTTTCTGGGATCATTCCCTTTCCCTTTCCTTCTTGTATGTGCCCTTGTAGTCCTTGGAAGAAAATAAAAAAGGAGAATCAGGGAGGTTCCCCGCGTCCCCTAAGATAGGCAACGTTTTGGGGTCAGAAATTGAATTGCGAGAAGCAGGCAAAGGCACAAGTCGTCGGTTCCTTTCGTAAGTGGCGCTAGCCTAGTGCACTCCTCTCGTTGACAGAACTTGGGGTTTATATTCAGGTTTTAAAACTGACTTTTACTTTTCATCCTGCCCCAGTGTCATTCGCCTATGCGGACAAACTGCGTTGAAGCAACACTAGGTGGCTTCTAATTTCTGACTTGAAGGGAGTGAAGGCATAGATCAGGCAGAGTGCTTCACTTCCAATGCAGGATCCTGTTCTTAGAATGTGATCCTGGTGATCTCTTCCAGGCTCTCTTTTCAGAGAAGGTTTACAAAAAGCAAGTGCAGAAAAAATTAGTTCGACGGTCTTTGAATCCAGAATTTTTTGTTATTGTTTCCCTTACAAATATTTCCATCTTGAAATAGGTTAAGTACCCCCTTCTTCCTCCTAAAAAAAAATAATAATAAACCCCAGTCCATAATTATTAGTTAGGTGGCTGATCTTTAAATCTATAAATTAGAAGCTGTGAAAAGAGCTACAGGAGGGACACACTAGGTAGGTTTAGATGGGCATGAAAGAGTTCCTTGATTTCAAGATGTCTCCATAAATTCCAGGAAGGGCAAGTAGACAGGTGCTTTGGCAAGGTACAGTGGTGTTCTGTAGTTAATGCAGATGTGATGCTGAGAGAGACAATCATTAAATGCTGACTTTCCTTGCTCCACAAATAAGGCTTTACAGAGAAGGAAAATGCACTTGGAAAGAGACTCGTTAGGCATTTCCTTCTCTTGTGGATTCAGGATTTCATAGAACTTCAAAAGGGTGGGAGGGTGAAGGAAAGAAGTATGAGTGTATAAATAAATAGATAAATAATATAAAATGCTAATAAAGGAAAGCCTTGACCAGGAGCGATAATTTAAACGCAAGTGCACACTTTGGTTTGGATACAGTGTTGTTCATATTGAAGCTGTAAATATTTATTTAAAAGAGACTGCAAAGTACAAAAATGGAGGTGAGCAATGTACATTTCCCTTTTTCCCTTAATGCCCAGAGCATTATATGCACTCAAGTGTCTAATATTTTTTTTTAAATATATTTGAGCTGTACAGATTTAAGCATTAATCAAATGTTTCATTTGTACGTCTGTAATGTCATCATTTTTTTCTCTTTAAAATGTTCTTGCAAGATTTAAAATTATGTGCTAATGAAGAATTCTTTGTTTCTACTGTCTACCTCACTATGTTGCGAGGGCTTGATCTTCTGGGAAGATTCCCCAATCAGGCTCTGGTTGATTTCCCATTCACTTCAGTGATGCTTTGAGCAGGACATCTTGCTGGGTTTTATTTCAAATATTTACAGCACAAGAATCCTCTGCATACTTACCCAGGAATAAGTGCCATTAAATACAGTTAGAGCTTATCTCTGAGTCAGAATGGATGGGATCGCAGTGTAATGTTTTCCGAGATGAATTAATACCCAGAACATTTTTACAGGACACTTTTACTGGATGGTATTAAAATTATGACTGTATTATTAAACTTTTTGCATAAAAATTTGTTGTTTTTCTGTCATAGTTAAATAGTCACATATCTTTATTTTACCAGAATGTTGGCTATAATTTCTAAAAATGCTGTCAGCAAGTTTGAAACAACCAACACCCAAAAACACAGCCTTCTGCATTTTATGCAACCTTTTAAATACCTATGGATTTACTTTCATTAAGAGTGGTGGTTAATATTTATGAGTTTAGATAGCTTTCATCTATTTGGAAGATACTAGTATTCAGAAAAATATAGAGAAAGATGTGCTAGACCTAGGTTTGTACATAATTATTATGGGAAAGAAAAGTTGTAAACAGTATTGATTGTACTGTTTTCATGGGTCGTTGTCCAGGGCAGTAACATTTTGTGAAAATGAACAAGTGCTCGTATCTAAAACTCAGATGCCTTGATCGTATAGTCTTGTAGTGGAACATGCAACTCTTATACGTAAAGGTTGTGCCAGAACGGGGTGGGCAATTTTGAAATGAGGCAGTATCCCACCCACCCATCAGTGTTTTTCAGTTTCTTGATGATGGAAAGGCGAGCTTGTGTCAGCCCTTCAAGGTGGACCAGACTAGGAAACCAGTGCCGTGCTACTTTTATTATAAAGCTATAGTAACAGAATCTTGCAAGTTTGAATGTGTTTTCCCCTCTCTCCCTTTATCTCCCTGCGATGGAGGCAGGGAAGAGCTTGTCTGAGACACTTACTCACATTACATTCTTGGCCAGGGCTCAGGCCCCTTCTAACTGACCATTGCCTTGGTAGAGACTCTTTCTTCTGTCCCTCAAGGCCATTCCCTCTTCCCCCTTCACCTTGTGACATCCCTGGCAGGGTGGGGACAGAAATGTTGGGCCGTTTCATAATTTGTGGGGGAAGTTTCTGTAATATAGCTATGTTAATTTGGCAACTAGCAAATTTTAGTGGCACAATCTAGGAGAGTTTGGGGAGTTGTACAAAAGGGGAAGTTTGTGGGCTACAGATTACATATCCTTGGAGAAGACATTTGAAGAAGTGTGTTTATTGAACCAAATGGAGAATCCCTGGAGATGGGTTAGTGCTGATTCACAGCAAAGCTTGTATATTTATTGATGGGATACAACCTGAAGATAGCTGAACATGTCTATCTCCTGTGAAAATAGTATAAGTAAATTGTATTTACATCAGTGGCATTTAGGCATCTTTAATATAGCCAGTATGTAAAAGAAATTAAAAGTGGCAAGATGTATTTCATGGAAATATAAGAATTGGAGCATCGTTCTTTTCTTGCAGCAAGAATAGATGCTTTGCCAGTACACCCCTTTGAAAAGAATGGTAGTGAGCAATGTGTATTTATATTCTTGGATTAGAATATAGAATAAATGCATTCCATTTATTTGTGCCAGCCCATGAAATCCTTGCTGTCATTTCTCTACTGAGGCATTGTGCGTCCCCACTTCTTTCTGAAGGCATTTTAATGCCTTCATGAAGCATATTTTTCACTATTAGCTGTTTGGGATAATGAGTTAAATATAGTATTAGCTGTATGGTGCAAATGTAGGAATCCAGGATGAGAAATACTAGGGGCTGATTGCATCAAGCACTTCTATGTTGGCTCTCTTGGCATGTTAGAAATGTGCTTGAAACTTAAGCTCTGATAAATTAATAGCAGGTTTAACAAAGTTTTTGTGCATCTATGTAGGAATAGGTCATAGGATTAACCTGTCCTTTTTAATTATTTCTCTGGTAGATGATTCTTAAGGATGAAGTTCCTAGTATATGAATGCATTAAATATTCTGTGTTCTGTATGCTCATAGATAAAAAGGCCATTCCACAGAGATACACCATTGTATAATATTCCAATATCGTCCCAGATCTTTTTCATAGTGTCTCTGCAGCAGCACCTGGTAAAATTATGTGGAAGATCTTTCTCCAATTAAAGCAAACAGTGGAAGACTAGATGAATCAATCTCCTGATACAATAATATAAAGCAGCTTATGTAGCACAGCATGAATCAATCCATGTCAAAATGATGATAGCTAGAGAGAACTGTCGATGCTCAGCACTAAATAACTTGATCCCATATACCAGCATTCCCCAGCCTGAGCACTTTCCAGATGTAGGAGGCCCATGTCGGCAGCACATTCTGGAAGCTGAAATCCATTTATCTGGAGTGCACCCAGGTTGGGGATGGCTGCCATATGCTAATACGAAACAATCATAGGCTTGGGTGCTGGGTCTTAGTAACCAACAGCAAAGATGTGTTACTATCCAGTCAAAATTAAATAGTTTTACGGCCAACTGATTCCTGTGGAAGAAATAAACATTTTCATCAAGAAAGTGAAACATGCCTCCAAGGCTTTAGTTTTGTTGCCTCGTGTCTTTTTTGTTTTCTTTTTCTTTTAAAGAAATGAAACTTATCAATTTACCTAGCTGGAGGAAACAGAGATGCCAATGTAAAAATTAATTCTTCTCGGATCTTATGTTAAGGCTAAATGCAAAAATGAGAAATTGCTTCCATGTTTTGCACTAACAAAACTGACTTCTCTATTTGTATAGAACGTTTTATAGAAAAAAATTAAATAGTTTATATTGAATGTAAGGATTCTGAAATGAGATTGCCACCGCTTTGTCTGTTTTGCAGACCAGTACACTTTCCCTTTTAAATTGTTCATCCAAATTTTGGAATATACTCAAGCACTGAAAAATGAAACTGCTATGCAGCAATGTCCTCTCCTATTTCCTCATTACCAGAAGAGGGAGCGAGACTTGACTGAGCGTTGAAAACCAGTTTTAGAAAGTTCTGAGGGCTGTGGGAAGGGCTTGAAGGCTACAGATTGCTTACCCATGTTTCCATATGAAGTGTATTGCTAAGCATAATACAAAGTATTTGGATATTTTTGAGAGAATTGCTGTAAAATATTTCATTTCCAAGGAAACGTTGCTGTTGCCCTTAATTTACTGATCTTAAGGAGTTCTGATCATCTCTTTTGACCAAGGATTTCCAGTCTAGACTTTCCAGAATCCAAAGTCATTTATTTTTCCTCCTCCCAGACCAACACTTTTAGATCTGGCCAATTTCTATACCAACTCATCCTTGTCTATCCTTCTGCTGGATTTGCCATTTAGGCACTTCTTTACCATGTTGATGCCTAACACCCTCTTTCTCTGTTAATTCCTTCCACAATCTCTCCTTCAACACTTGCTGGAGAACTCTTGAGACCCTTAAGCCCAATATATGCAGGTATTGATTGGGAGATTCTTCTCTGTTTTGTCCACTTGGTTAAATTGCTTTTGAAAGTTCTATTTTGTCACCCATGGAGATGATTCAGATCTATAATTTTAGAAATCCGAACCATTTTCCAGTACTTGACCTGCTCATATTCTGCCCCAACTTTACCTCTGACAGAGTTATTATTTTGCTCAATTCCTATAACAAACTGATTCCAGGTGGATAGTTTCTTCCTGTCCTATGATACAAAGATTCTGTACAACACATTTAACTGGGTCATAGGGGCAAATTCTATAGAAATGACCCATTTAACTAACCTAAAGAATTAATTTAGCTTATTTGAGGTTAAACTAATTTTGCTTGTATTGTGTAAACTACTCCCCAGGAAGTTAAGTTAAGTTAAGTTATCCTTGGGGTGTTCCCATACCATTTTTATGTGCTTTGATCACATGTTTGTGGATGCCATCTTGAATTTTTTTTTACCCTCCCTGCAGATGCTCCTATGACTCCTCACTACTTAGACAGATGTCCTAGAGAGGCTGTGTGAAAAGAAGGCACTTCTGTTGCTGCCTTGGTATTCATCGCATCCTACTACAGCCACCTTTGTGGGGCGGGGGGAGCAACAGAATTGTCTCCCCAAGTCTGTCCACTATAGTGCCAACTCTGTGGCACTACTGGAAAGAAACCAAGGGCAGAAAGTGGAGAGAGAAGTGAAGCTTCCTTTGCTACTATGCTATAAACTCAACCATCTTGTGTCGTGGGCTCATGGCACACAAGGAATCTATTGCGGGGAGTGGAGATGTGGAGTTGTTTGTGTTGTTGAACACAATCAAACTGTAATGTGAAAATAATCAGTACATATTTATTTTGAATCCAGTATTAGGCAATGGGTGTAACTAGGAATTCAGCTTATGGTCTTGAGCTATTCAAGAAGCTGCATCAAGATAGAATGTGTGGCTGCAAGCATCCAGTTCAATAGAGTAAATTTTGTGCTAAGCAGGAAAGTCAGTATTTTAATTATATATATTATGGAAGCGTGATTTTGGAGAAAGTCTGATTTTGCTTATTTTTTTTCTGGATATAGGTTTTTTTCTTTAAAAAACCCAAACCCTTGGTGACTCCTAGTTTTGGTAGTAACAAAGATATGGGAAGAAATCTCATTCCACAATTACTGAAAAGTTTGTTTTGCCTTTTAGGTTCAATGTATGCCGACTATCCCCATTTCAATGTATTGGTACAGCCAAAAGAGAAATTGCCTTAAAGGCCAAAAATGAGGCAAGGTTCTTATCCCGTGTTTGATCCAATTTTCTGCAATTCATCTGGAATGCACATGCACACACCTGATTACCTGATGCAGAACTAGATAACCACGCAAAAGTTACCAAGCTCTGAAGTTCTGGAAGACTCGGAAATGGGAGAAGAGGTGGTACTATTTAAATATTTCACTCAAGATAAAGATTGGCCTTTGTTTAGGCAGTGACACACTGCAGTTAGACTATTGTATGATAAAACAGGATGGGGTTATAGAAAGATTCAGAAGCAATTTTATTTGTCCTCCCATCTCTAAACTGGATGGCTGCTCTTGATTTGGAAATTCAAATTATTTCTAAAATTTAAGGCTCATGTGTCATTGAAACCCCTCCTGAAACCAAATGTAATATTGAGGGCACACCTAGAAAACATTCAGCTGTTGATTCTGGACACTCAGATATGAGCCTATGACTCAGTATGCACTGACTTGCATAAGATATAACAAATGCATGTGGTATT